ATGGCGGTCATGACGGGCGACGACGGCGAGCGGTGAGGATGATGATGAGGATTGGGAATGGAGGCGACGGAGTAAGACGAGGAGGAGGAGGATCATGATGAGGTGGAGGGGGGTGGGGGGGAGGGGCAGGAGTACTAGGATGCTGAGGATGAGGAGGAGCAGGAGGAAGCGGGAAGTGAAAGAGGGGGAGGGGGAAAAGGAGGAGCATGCCGAGGATGAGGAAATTTGCGGCGGTCGTTGGACATGTTCGGCGGTTGTTGGAAAGCCTCTTCGGGGCCAGATGTTGGCTTTCTTGGGGGTGATACCTCGCCGATTGGCGCACTCTCTGAAAAGCTTTGTTTTAGAGTCGTCTGCGTCGCAGTTCTTTGTGGAACCTTGTGCATCACCCGTCTCTGCTGGGAACCATGGTGTTTTGGGGTTTTTGGGGCCTTCGCTCGGTCCTCTGCGGGCCCTTGTGAGTTCATGGATGTGAAGGACACCGAAAACGGGAGAATAGGTGAAAGCGTGGAAGAACCTTTTGTATTGCAGCGCTTGCGTTCAGACGTGAGCGCTGCGGAAGCATTGGGGCCGGTGTTGGGCTTCCCGGGGGGGTCTTGGAGGCAGCTCGGAGGCTTTTACAAGGCGTCTTGGATGCATTTCGGGGGCCTTTAGGGGGCTTCAGGGGGCCTTCTCGGGGCCAGTTTGAAGCGTATCGGGGCCTCTTCAGGCCTCTCGGGGGCCTCTGGGGGCCTGTTCGGGGCTTCTTACCCACTGCCCATGGGCAGTGGGTCAGAAGCCCTTCGGATGAGTATGAGGGTCTCTCGGTATGCTTCTCGGGGGCATCGAGGGGGCCTCGCGGGGGCATTTTGGGCGCCTCGCTGAAGCTTTTGGCGGCTTCTTCGGGGCGCGAAAGCCCCCCGCGCGTCCTCGCGAGACCCCTGGAGCCAAAAGGGTTTCCCGACCTCCTCTCGAACGACGCGCCTTCCCGGCAGGGGGTGGCAGGCTGCGCGATGCCACCAGGCCTCCAAGAAGAAAAGGCGTCGAAGGAGGAAACAGGAGCAAGGGCTCCCACGAGGGCGCGAAGTTATTCGCGCTTCGCGCTTCGCGGTCCTCGTTCCTTCTCCCCCTCCTCCTCGTCCTCCTTTTCTCCCTTTGGGGGGGCGGCGCGAGGGCGCGAAGTTATTCGCGCTTCGCGCTTCGCGGAGCGCGAAGCGCGAAGTTGGGAGCCCTAGTTCTCGCTCGCTGACTGCATGTGGCACCAGGGGTCAGGAGTCCCAAGCGACGACTGGCAGCAGGGCGCTCGGGAGGTACTGTGTTCCCGTCGGCGGCAAACGCATCGGGAGCCCCTTCTCCAATAAGCGAGTGCGGGCGATTATGAAGCATACCCCCCCTGAACTCCTCCCTCTGTTTTCTATCACCCCCATTCAGCAGGATTTAAAAGTGGAGAGGGGCGCAAAGGCCGAAGTTGATAATCCACGGGGGACGTTGCGAATCGAAGTTGCGATCATCACATGTTGACTGGCAACAGCATCCAAAACGCGGAGCATGTCTATGGTGGTCTCGTCATACCAGCTTCCGCAATCACGAACGCGGGCAAGTTGTAGGCACGAACCTCGAGATCTCTCGAGTCAGTCTTGTGCCGAGCGCCTGCTGGCAAGTAGTAGCCGCGAGCATCGAGATCTCTGGGGTCAGCGTTGTGCCGAGCGCCCAGGATCACCATCATTATGATCATCGTCATCAGTTTCATCATAACTTCACCTTCCCCGGGAAACTCGTTGATTATCCCCGCCAGACCCCCGAGCTTGATTATCTCCCGGGTAATATCATCGCTCGCACTCGCATTCCATTCGCATTCAAAGCAATCGCACCCACTTGAGAAGAATGCTGGCAGCGATCCTTGCCAGGTGAACGGCTTCCGTAGTTTCGATCATGCGTCCGACCAGGTCCTCGTCAGCGCATGTCTATCAGCGGCGTGGGTTGCCGAACAAAATTCACATAGGTGTTCGTTCAAGTGGAGCTTCGGGCTCATCATAAAAATCATTGTATTGCTATCGCAGAATACAGTGCAACGTAAAGCTCGGCCAAGTCTTTGCCGAGTTTGGGGGTTTCTTCTATGATGCCTGAACCAAGAAACTGGGACTCGGACTCCAGAGTGCCATAGAAACGCACAAACAACTTGCACATGTATAACATCATGCGGCCCTCGCGCGCGACAGTGCCAAGCCTCTGTATTTTGGTGAAGAGTAAACCTCGAGAGATTGCGAGTGGCGGCAGCTTTGGCTTTAAGTTTGGTCCACCCGCAAGTTGTCCGAAGCCTGGCAACCGCTATTTTCCTGCAGCCCGAGAAGGAACCTGACCATCGGAATACAATTTCTGCATGCATTCCATTGCCCTTCTGATGTTGTCTGCCTGGCTGGCGCCGACGAGTGAAGTTCTCGCCGCGGCCACCAGCCAACGCTGGCCACAATGTGACTCGCCACGCCCTGGTCGACGGTGTGTAAAATGTCGACCATCACGGCCTCAAGGCGGAACCCGATGAGGCATGAAAGCAACGCAGGCACTGCCATCCAAATGCAAGTACCTCACATACTCCTGGTGTGAAAACAACGCACCTCTCCAAGGTGCGTCCTTGCGCGTGTTCGAGAACAACAAGTGAGGTATCGTCGACGATGCCCTACAGAACGGGCACATTCGGACATTGCAATTCCATTTTGGGACATGGAAGGGCTTGCAAAATAACGTCCAATTCCCTCTTCCCGTGCACAATGTCGCCCTCCAGCCCTTCGCCAACTCTAGCCCTGCGTCTCCGCGTGGACGGCCATGCGGGTCTTCAGGAGGTCAATCCTTGTGAGAAGAGCACTCATGGACTACACGAATATGTTCAACGCAGCATCGAAAGTATCGGCTCGCATATCGGGTTTCCGAAGTACCGTAAACACGAATCGCTCAACAATTGTGCCGCCCGCTCCTCCGAGAGAATTCCACGATATTGCATTGAGTAAGTCGTGGGCATTGGACGCCCCTTCATTTGCGCGCGTACCCAATGGCACCATTTGGTTCCACAGGTGTCGCGGTAAGTTGGGGTGCTGCCTAATAATACAGTAAAGCGAGCCGATTCCCAGAATTGCTCGCACGCCCACCGGGGCCCACACACGGTTTCTTTAAACCTCGAGGGCAATTCATTGAAGAATTAGCTGAAGAACTTGTGCGGAAGCAAGAGCGGACGCAGTGTCTTCGGTGATTTAAGCGCGGGCAACTTCATCCAGTCAAAGCCTGGACGTGGCCACCTCCGACCCCGACAGGCCCTGGATCGTCGATGCCGCGGCCCCCACGAAGATCGGCCTAGCGCAGGTCATGGATGACAATGTCTTGCGATCCTCTTCATGGGGTGCCCAGGCCGTGGGCGCGCGGGCGCTGCGGGCCGCGGCGGGCAGCTTGCGCGCGGAAATCCGCTTCGGGCCGAGCAGGACGGAATGCTTGGCAGGCAGCTTCCGCGCCCGCCTCCCGCACGACGGCGCGCAGTACGTCGATGAGCACACGCGCGGGGGCGCCCCCATCGACGAAGGTGCGCGCGTGACGGCGCTCATGCAGCGCGCCGAGCACGCCGCAATGCGAGGCTGGGCGGCTCTTCGCACGGCCCTGGAGCTCCTGGGGCTGCCCACGACGGTGGCCTCTCGTGCGCGGAGCGCCAGAGTCCGACCGCAGGCGTGCCGGGCGGCGCCCTTCCTCACCGTCCGCCACGACTGGGGGGGCGCGGGTAAACGCTGTCCAGGACTGGCGGGCCAGTCGCCTTCTGGACATTGACGCGCCCATGCCGAGGGTCCTCTTCTTCTTCCTCCGGAGGAGGAGGAGGAGGCTCGGCTTCCCGCAGCGACTCCACGCAGACCCTCCGAGCAGCGGCGGCGCTGGCGGCTTGGATCGAGCCCACCGCGCCGGGATCCCAGCCCAGCCGGGTTGCGCATATCGCGGCGCCGACGGCCCCCGCGTGGATGTGGACATTGCGCGCCCATTTGGAGGAATACGCCATCCCCGAGCACTCGGCGTGGTCCCTCCGCAGGTACCAGGAGCCCGCGCACGCGCCGGCGCGGGCGGGCAGGAAGCGGCGCATTCACACATGCTTCGCGGAGGCCGTCGACCCCGAGGTTGAGCTGGGATGGCGCAACTGCGAGGCGGCCGCCTACCCGCGGCGGGGCGACGGCACGGCGATCCAGGCGGCGACCACGACGTCGGCCCCGCGGTCAGCCATACGGGCGTGGGCGCAACTGCGCCTCCAGGGCCGCCTCACCGTGCACACGACCGCCTCCCGAGCTACGTGCCCACGGTGCGGGGAGGTCATCTTCCGCCACGGACTCCACCCTCTGGAAGGCTGCCGCCACGCCGAGGCAGCGGCCCGCGAGCTCGCGCACGGTGCGGCGTGGGAGGAGTTTTTGCCAGCGGCCATCCTCACCGGACTGCGCGCGGGCCTGGACATCAAGGCGGGGATGGCGGTCGCCGCGAACTTGGCGCGGGAGGCCGATCCCCGCGGCGGCAGCCAGTCCGGGCACGGCGTGAGCCCGCAGCACCGCCGGCGCCGGCGCCCCGTCGTTGCCGCTGGGCGCTGGGCCAAACCACAGGCCGCTGGGCGCCGCGGCCGGACCGCCCCGCCGCCGCCGGCAGCTGGCCCGCGCGTTGAGCCCGCGCGCCCGCTTGGGGTCCCAGGAAAAGATCCTCCGTGAGCGTCCAGTCCTGCGTCGAGGCAAGGTCGCACCCTCGCGGGCGACCCCTCGGCCCGGGCTGAGTCGCAGGCAGGGCCACGGAACCCATGGAAAATCCGTTAGTTGTGCATTCGCTTGCCTGCCGGCGAACGCCCAGCAGTTCGACGCGCTGGCGCCGCGTCGAGGAAGGATGACCTCCCCATCCTCCCTTCTTCCCCCTCCTACCTCGGGTATCCTGACCCAGTTTTTCTCCTCGCCCTGGCTTCGTCTTGCTGCGCCCCATGCGCCCCTGCATCCGTTTCTTCAGCGCCGACGGGGGGGGCCGAGGCCATACATGGCGTTCCTGTCGGACCTCCTGCGCTCCAAGACGGTGCCAGGTGGGGGCGCAAGGCACCGGGCGCGTGGCGGTCTTCCATGCCCGATGGGGAGGAGGAGGGATGAGGAAGAGGATGAGGAATGAGAGACGAGGAGAAAGGGGGAGTGGGGCAGGGGAAGGAAAAGAGGAGAAGGAGGGGGACGAGGGCGAGGAGGGAGGAGGATTGAGGAGGGGTGGTCAGAAGGAGGAGGAGGAGGAGGAGGAGGAGGAGGAGGAGGAGGAGGAGGAAAAGGAGGAGGACGAGGAGGAGGGTGAGGAGGAGGAGGGTGAGGAGGAGGAGGAGGAGGGAGGAGGAGGAGGAGGAGGAGGAGGAGGAGGAGGAGGAGAGGAGGAGGAGGAGGAGGAGGAAGGGGGGGAGGAGGAAGGAGGAGGAGGAGGAGGAGGAGGAGGAGGAGGAGGAGGAGGAGGAGGGGAAGGATGAGGAGGAGGAGAAGGAGGCGGAGGAGGAGAAGGAGGCGGAGGAGGAGCAGGAGGAGGAGGAGGAGAAGGAGGAGGAGGAGGAGAAGGAGGAGGAGGAGGAGGAGGAGGAGGAGGAGTGGGAAGAGGAGGAGGAGGAGGAGGAGGAGGAGGAGGAGGAGGAGGAGGAGGAGGTGGAGGAGGAGGAGGAGGAGGAGGAGGAGGACGAAAAGGAGGGGAAGGATAGCGTAGTCGTGGAGGAGGAGGTCGAAGCACCAAGTCTGAAGCTTTTTGAGATATCTGAATGATCCCCTTTTTATGCCTCTGCGAGGTGCTGCTGGTCGGGTGGACCCGGCTGCCGCCGGAGGGGCATTTTGGAGAGGCGTTGCGCCAG